TTCTAGAAATTACTAGTATGGAATATAAAAGCTGTGTGGTGCATTGGAAAGCTCTAGTCCCAGGAATGCCATCTGTTCCTTGGGCAATACACGTTTCTCTCTCTGTTCCTCAGTTTCTTCATCTGTAAAGTGAGGGGTTGGGTGATGATCTCAGAGGTCCCTCCCTCTCTTATTCTGTGACTGCACGGGGTGATGGGGTGTTAGTAATATGACTCTTATCTAAAAGAAAGTACTTCAGTAATGTGGAGATGAACTATAGTTTGGCAGAAAGGATGGGAAAAACCATTTTAGGAAAAGAGAAGTGGCTTTGGCTATTGCTGAAAGAATAGATATCATGTTACAAGCAGACAAGAGCAAGAGGTTTGTCCAGTTATTGATGGAAGCATTTGCCATTGTGACTCAAATTAAAGTAGATGGATTAAAAAGGTGGACTACTGCGGCTGGAGAAACCCCTCTTTAGGAATTTTCATTTAATCTGTATCTGAGCAATCTCTAGTAATTCTCAAAAGAATGCCTTGAAATATCTGGGAAAGAGGGAATGGGCACAAAGTCCAGAGTTTGTTGAAAAGTGAATGTTTAAAGTTTGTCTTTGGTAAAATAGGCATGTTGACAGGACTTTGTCCCCATTCTCCCTCAATCAATAGTGTTCCCGCTTCCTGAAGGCCTGATTTTTCTTTTCATGTAAACTTTCCTTTCTTTAACCATTATTTCTGTTACTGAATAAGATTCATGCTTGTAGACCTAAAAAATGTTAGTTAAAAAGGAATTTAGAGATTATCTACTGTATTCCTTCCATCATCTAATTTTATGGACAAAGTTAAACATGCCCATGTACTTTGAAAAGTTTGTGGAAAAATGGAATTAAAAAAATAATACAAATCTTCTTAGGAACTTTTTTTTCCCCCTTGGGGGAGTGGTGGGGGCTGGCTGGTATAGGGACAAAACCCTTGACTTTGATGTTATTAGCACCATGCAGTCTACCAGGGAAGCTAAGCACCAGCACTTTCATAACTTCTTGAAGTACCCTCATATATACTCTGTATAAAGAGGGAAAGTACCAACCCTAGACTCCTTGGAAGGAGCACCCATGCTTCCTGTGTTTATATGTGGGGGCACTATTGATTTGAGGGGAAGACAGAAAAAAATTCCAGAAAAGGGGGAATGACTTTCAAGTTCAAGCTGTCAGAACATTTTTTTAACTATATGAGTATTTCTTTCAATTGGCAGTCGTTTCACACATATTAAAATTACTGACAAAGGTATAATGTTCCTTAATCATACCCTACAATTCCTTATTGTATTTTGAAACTCTAATGAGTATCTAGATGTATTTCATAAAATTGTAAAAAATTTTTTTTTCAAAACCCAATTTTCTGTTTCAGTATAATCCCTTTTGCAAAGTTTAAAAGAAAAACAAAAAAGTGGCTTTTTGCAGTGTCAACTATGTGGGCAGGTTGTGAGTCGTAAAATTGTAAAAAATTTTTTTTTCAAAACCCAATTTTCTGTTTCAGTATAATCCCTTTTGCGAAGTTTAAAAGAAAAACAAAAAAGTGGCTTTTTCCAGTGTCAACTATGTGGGCAGGTTGTGAGTCCTCCAAAGGTCCTCAGGTGAAGGCCAAAAGGCAGAGAAGGGACCTGCCTGTGTTCAGAGTCTGAAGGCTGCTCCCCAGAACTACTGCATAACTGTAAAATCACTGTTCTGTTTGTGTGAGTTGATGCTTGAACTGGTGCTTCAGGCCAAGGGACTATGTGTGTGCGTGTTTTGTACACTGGGGTGGAGTACCTTATCTCTACTTTTGGTGATTTATTAGAGAGGGGCCATGTTGATCAAGTCATCCGAGGCTGTGGGAGTTGGCTGCTGCTTCCATCCGGGACTGCTGAGGCAATAGGGGTGTTGCAATGAGCCTGGCAGCTCTCCTCCCTAACAAATGAGTGGGTGATAACTTTTTAGAACTCACTTCTTCAGTGTTTTAAAAAATGGTGTGTGATCAATTTAAAATAGGTACCACTCACAAATGGTATGTTTGCCCACAAAAGGAAACCGAGCACTTGGACACTCTCCTAGATGCCAGTAGGCCCCTCTCTGTGGGCCCCATGTCCCATTGCTCCTCTTTGCTCCTGAAACACTTCAAACTTTGGCGTTTGGCATTTGGCAATACTGGTCAGAGGCTTGTCTGCCCCTTCCTTTCCAGAAACTCCAGTACCACCAAGGCACCAGGTACTGAGGGAAAGCATTTTATGGCAGTTTGTTTAGTCCTCTTCTCACTACCTCCACCCTTTTTTCCTTTGAGTTCAGGATTTGGTTGGGGGTGCAAGGAGAAGGGAAGAGGACAAGGAAAAAAGTGAAGTTCAGGCCGGTCTGTGCCCAACAAAGCTGAAAAGCAGGTGAAGTTTGTCCTTCCATGCTGCCCACTTTTCTTCCTCCTTGAAGAAAGGAGGTAACTTCTAACAGTTACCAAAAACTGTTCTTAAAATAGTCTGTAAAGCACATGCTCAAGCATATATAAATTACTGACAGATGTTTTAAAATTTACCCTCCTAGGGGTTTTTACACTGGAGAAGGATTAATACAACAAAAATGAAGGCATATCAGTGGGATTTCAGGAATTATCAGTAAGCTAGAAGCAGAGCTTTCCTGGAACCTTGGAAACCTTTCTGCTCTGCCTGGGAAACAGGCCTCCCTTATTTGGTAACTGTTACTCAAACCCAATCGTGTCTGTAAGCCTTTGAGAGAAGCCAGGAGAGTTTGCATGGCTGGGGTCCAAAGTGAGACCAGATGGTGCATTCCTAGAAGCAAGGAGGGAATAACAAAAAAGAATTTGGGACCTAAATGTCAGTCACTATTTTAGATGCTAAGAATATAGAGATGAATAAGAGTTATTCTTCTCTCAAAGGGTTCCATCTAATGAAGAGACAATGAGATCAATTAATTAACGAGTAGTGGTTAATGGCCTGTTTCCCTGTTTACACCAACCTGAAGAAAAATTAGATCCATCCCACCCATGTTATAAGAACTCTAGATCAGCTCACACTCTTTTGTGAGCATTCCTGAAGTTCCCAGAGGGTATAAACATGCCTGTAAATGAGCTCCTTTAACTCACACAGTGAGGCTGCCTTTTTAAAATTATTTTTTAACATTTATTTGTACATATTTGTGGAGTAGAATATGGGGTACAGTGTGCTGTTGCAGTACATGCATATACTGCACAATGATTCACTTAGGGTAAATAGCATAGTTTTGTACCCGTTAGTCTATCACTTCTCCTCCCCCCGGCCCTCCCCGACTCCTGTCCTCTGGTAACCATTATTCTACGTTCTACTTCTGTGAGAACCACTTTTTTTTTAAGATTCCACATATGAGTGAGATCATTCAGTACATGTCTTAATGCCTGACTCACTTCACTTAACATGGTGGCTTCTGGTTCCATCCATGTTGCTGCTTTGTCCTTCCCTGCTGCAGCTCCCTGTGTGAGGTCTATCACTGCCATGCAAAGGGACCAGGGTGCTGACAATGTCTATGAAGATGCCATCAAGCAGTGTCCTCTTCCTTTCCAGTAGAGCAAACCATCTGACCTGCTGCTCTAGCTCTTGTGTCCAGATTTGCCTCAAATTCATCCCAACA